TTTCCACATGGGAAAGAGAATAGGAAATCACCAGCTATTAATGCAGTGGCCAAGAAGGAAAATGGTTAATAGAATTGTTGCAGACTATACTTGGGGAAGTGGGGTACTGAAATGTCTTAAATTATTTAATTCAATCAAAATAGTTTTAGGCTTAGAACGTTACAGAAGAAATTTCAATCCACCACGTTCTCCTCTGCTCACTGGGGTCTCAGCAAATCTCAGGCCACAGGTCATTCAGACTATAAAAAGCTCCTACACATTCCACAGAAACCTGATCAAGCTTACTGAACCTCTCATTGGGTAAATGGAATTTCAGCTCCTCCAATTGTGCGTGACACCTGAACACAGTGGCAGGGCAGCAGACCAGGGCAACTGCCAGACGGTTCCCGCACCCACCTCAGTTGTACCTTCTGAATTATTTAAACAAGAACCGCCAAAGAGAAATGGCATACGCTTTATAAACTCCACTTGACCAGAGTCTGAAAAAAGATGCCAAAATATCCTTTGTTTTTCCTCTCATTGTGGGGGAGGGGAATACTTTCAAGAAAATGATACAGTCAAGAAACATTCTCTTTTTCATGAACTATCTATTTCTTGAATTAACTGGACCCAAGTTTTTCCTCGGAACACCAAGTACCCAACTGTAAGGTCAATTCTGGGCAACCTCCTAAAACAGCTCTTAATGCCTGGACTTTCCCAAACAGGTCCAAGGAGAAGAGAATTCACAAATTATAATATAAAAAAAGGGCTACCTTCTCAGAAGTTTCATAACACATTCACATAAATACATGGTAAGACCACTAAACAAGCTCAATAAGTAAAAAGAAACTACCTGTTAGTGAAATAAAAACATCCACAAAAAATACACAGGTTAAGATTCTATCTGAGTTTTGATCACAGAAATACTTCAATTGAAAAGCAACCGAGTTTGGGCTTTGGAGTCAAGCAGATTAGAGTTCTGTCAGCTCCACCGCTTTCCTAAATGTGTAAACTTGAAACAAATTCCTTAATTCCCTCACCTTTCAATAAAACAAGGATAACCCTACCTATCTATGACAGCTGTTAAAAGGATTAAATAAAATAGTGTATGTAAAGCTCCAATACAATGCCTGGTACACAGCTGGAATATATAAGGTATGCTTCCCCTTCTAACTTGCAAAAAGTTTAAGCAGAGATTAATTAGAGATTCATAAAGAAGGTGGGACTTAAAGAACAGGGGAAATTGTTAGCTGGGCAGGAAAAGGAAACATATTCCTTAGGTATTCCATATTTATTTATGATTTAAAAAATAAGAATAAATTTCTCAGGTAAATAGTAAATTACTAATGAGAAAATGCATTACTGATCTTACAATGCTTTTTTCTAAATAAGATGCTCTTCTTCCTCTCTTCTAATTTTACAATTCTTTGAGGTTCTACATTTGTACCATTTTTTCCCCATCCTCTCCCTAAAGCCCTGATTCAGACCCTTATTTGGTTTTGAGATAACCTAAGGCTTGAACCAGACACATGTACCTTAGAATTAATTCATAGGTATTTTCAAAGAGTTCTGGGTGAAGACCAAAACCAAAGCATCCAGGAAGTTGGAAGAATCGGTGCGGCGTACTGACAAGGACACCGGCTTCGGAGACAGGCAAGGTTTCAGACAAAGGTTTAATTTCCACCTCCGCCACTTTCTAGATGTATAACCTTGGGCGAGGCACTTTACCTCTCCGGACCTCATTTCCTCATTTACAAGGTGGAGATAATGCCACCTGTATCTCAAGGCGTTATTGTCAGGATCAGAAAAAACACCTACAATTGTTGGCTTATACAATAAAAGGCCAATTAATGCTAATTATTATTAAGGTTAATATGCCAACTGCCTCACTGAACATTCTGCAGGGCTGTACTTTCCTAACTGGCAAGGGAGTTGCACTGCTTCCACGTTCCCATGCCTAGATCCGAAAAATTCCACTTAAATAACCCATAATTAACTAAGTCAAGAGCTGAAAGAATTCAGCCAAGAAAGCACTAACATGGCTCAACTCATTCTCTGCTGACAGCAACAAAGCCAGTGCAAAGTGGATATCTTTACCAAAAAAAATCTGCTTGAACACGTTCATTACTGACACTAACGTAAGCACAAACCAGTTGAGGTTCTTTCCTCGCAGCCTTACTTGTCAGAAAGTTTTAACTTTTATGAAATAAATCCTCTTCTGCCTTGTTTTCCCTTCTGTGTTGTGCCATTCCTATAACCCCATTTTTAAGAACATAGGGAAGAAATCCTCTCAACTTCACCACTCCATTCACTGTGGAACTTCTCTTCCCATTTCACAAATGACTCCTTATAGAGGTTTTTGGTTTGTTGGATTCACTTAATGTGAGCTTATAAAGAAAAACATTATATACAAACATATCCGAGCCACAATGACGAGGTCCTCAGAGCATCAAAAATTACACGATGTAATTTGAGTCAAAGACAAGACGTGACTGAGTAACCTGCACATCAAATGTTCGTTCTTACTAACTACTGCACTTGGGAATTCTGGCTTTTGTAAAAAGTTTATTCCCCTTGTGTGGCTGAGCAGAGTAACAGAACTAAGAAAAATGTAGACAGATACATGACTGGAGTAAGGGAAACCAATGGAAATGTGACTTACAATAAACAAACTTGTATGTGACAGTTACATTAAAGCAACAGGGCAGCTATTTCAATTCCTAAGTATCCCCAGTCTCTCCCTACACTATATAAAAGCAGAAGGGAGTCAATCAAGGTCAGAATGATTAACTAAACAATCTAAGAATCAAGAAAGGCTCAACATATAAAAATATCACTCTGTCGTACCTTGGTGAGGTGACTTTCATCATGAGGAGAGAAGGGCAGTCTCATACACTTATTTTAACTTAGTTAAAGCTTCTGTCCCCAGAAAGTAGCTTGGCAATGCCTTTAAGTTGTGTCATACAGCTGCACCCTTGCCCAGAGTTGTACCTGCTTCACTTCCAGCACCTAAGTTATTTTTTTGGTAGCAATTAACATTGTAAGGCAAGCTCAGCCCTGTCTTCCATAGCCCTGAGGTGCTGAGTAAATCAGGACTCACGGAACCTACATTTTAATGTTGGGAAAACAGCAAGATGGTGGTTTGGCAACAAAAAAAAATGGTCAAGAAGCACACCTAGAATTAAGAAAAAGATTGATATGCAGGCCTGTGATTTTTAAACTTCTTTATATAGAAGCTGTTGATTTGTGTGTACCTTTCAGAGGAGGTCATGGTAGCATGCACTTAGGCTAAAATGGGTGGAAGAATAAAATAAATCTTAATAACAATAGCTATTATTTTTTAAGACACTACTACATGTGCCAAGTTCAATGCTAAAGCCCTCACCAAATATTTATAATCCTCAATCAGATCAGTGTCCTTATTTTATAGAAGAAGAAACTAAGGTTCAGAGAACACTACCCAAAAGCTACTTAGTTGGGGGTACCAGGATTCAAATCAGGTCTGCCTGACAGTAAATCCTCTGTTCCAAAAACAATTTGTTAAACACTCTTACCCTCAAGAGATGTAATCAAATTGCAGATTTTACACAAAAAGATTCTTAATCACAAGGCAAGATCTGGCCAAAGTTATAAGGCAAATGAACTAGTCAGAAACATGTTTTAGATTTCCGAGCTCATATTTAGGTACCTTTCCTCCTGTAATTCCTCCCAAGTAAGTTTCATACTGCAAACAACAAGGACACAGCCCTAAAGCATAATTACACGTATTCCTTCAGTCTTGCCTCTGACATGGTTGGCTATTCACATGGTTGGCTATATTTGCGTAGTTAGAATAAAAGGGTCATCTGCTTTATACCTTAATCATGAGGTTATAACAACAAAAGGCTGGATCCAAGGTTCCAATTCAGCTGAGTTCTGCGGTGAAACCAATGCAGACTTCCCATCACTTTAGTGTTCTGATAAAGAATTAAAAATCATTCACAACAACAAAAAAACATAAAGCGCTGTGTACATATTGTACTTCAGAAATTACAGCCATATCCTTTTTCACACGATCCACATATCTCTTTTCCAATATTTGACTATTTTTTCTATGCTGATTTAGCTTTATGAGAGGAGAAACACTAGGCATAACCATTGTAAGGGTGATACGGAAGTATTCTACATCTTGGCATACTTACTCCCCAGTGCTCCAAGGCTACTGTCTCTTCAAAACTATCTGAAAGAAGCTGACAGCTGAGACAGAAAGACCCACAATGACAGCCACTCCCAAAAGTAGTAGCGTTTCTTCCTAACACTGCAGGTCATACTAAAAGGAATTAATAAAACAATCACTCTCCATACACAATCTAATGATCCTGGTGGCCAACTACTGAGCCGAGAGGACAAACCTCTTAAAAGAGTGAAGAGAATCTCTCCATCACCCTTCTACAGTCAGAGAAGATGCAGGGATGTTGCAGAAGAGTGAAGGGCACAGCATCGCACTTCCCTATGGGAGCAGTTGACCACAAAAAGGCATCATAAAGTCGTCATCTGCACAGAAACCGAAGAACTGAGGATTTCAACGGGAGCTAACTACTGCTTACTCTGAACTACAATCAGAAAAGATCTTTCTGCCCTTATTGCTGGGTGAACTCTCATAAACGGTAAGGTTTTTCTGTACCATCGGGGTCTTCTCCCTGGAGTGTCTGAAAAATAACACGGGAGTATGTTGGGGGTGCAGGGAATCGGAGTATTTGGTACCTCTCCTCTCCCTGCCCATTCCAAGTAGTAGTGGAGAGTGCTACCTCCATGTTATTCATAGCGAAGTACGGCCGGGTCGGCTGGAGTCTTCGATCCCCAGCACTGGAGGCCGGGTGGGGGTATTTTTGAAAGTGGGCTTAAGGAAAAAGGGGTCTTTCTGCCTCCGAGATCAGAAGGGGGGCGTGGAGGGTGGTGCTGCGGTGCCGAGAGGATCTGTGTGCGGTTCCCCCTCCCTTCCTCTCTCACTCTCTCCACGAAAGGCAGCCCGGCGCCAGTACCTTCTTGACTGTGCGCGGCGCCTCGGTTACGGAGCCGTCGGGGCTGAGCAGGGCCTCGCCGCCGTCGCGGTGCCGCTGGTGCTGGTGATGGGGGTCGCTCCGCTTCATGGCCGACGCCTGAGGCACCTTCCCGGCAGCAGGGCTGAAAGCAGCAGCAGCGGCGGCGGCGGCGGGCCCCGAGCCCGGGCCAGGGGCTGGGGGCCGCTCCGCGGTGGGAGCTGGAGCTTCGGGGTCCCCGCCACCCGCCGGAGGAGCCATGGAGCTCACAGCCGCTGTGCTCAGTCTTCGTTGCGGCTCCGCCTCGGAGGGGCTCAGGTCCTTCAGGTCCACTTTTGGTACTTTCCCGGCAGCCGCAGCTGACACGACCTGCACCGACATCACCGACTCCGATGCAACCGCCGGCTTTGACTCCAGCTCCAGTTGGGCCCCGCCTCCTGCCTCCTTTCCTCTTCCCTCCCCCATTCCTCCTCTCCTCCCCTCCATCGCCTCCGCTCCCACCCCCTGCCTCCACTCCCCTGCCCGCAAGCCCCGAGCTCCCGCCCCCGCCCCCTCCTGCTCAGCTTGGGAGAGAGGCACCACGGAACCTGTAGTGCGCTAGCTCCCGGCCACTTGCGATGAAAAGACCGTGGAACCTCAGCCCCCGACCTACACTGCGGGTCTCCAAGGGGCGGTGCCCGCGATGCCCCCTGGGAGTTGTAGTTTCCGTCGCCTTTCCTGGAGTAAGTGGCGTTCTGTAAGACAGACGGAGCTCTACGGCCCGCAACGAACGGAAAGAATAGGTGATACGATGAAGGGGGTAGGAGGAAGAGAAAGTCTCCAGAGGAATTATGGTTTCAGTAGAAGGAACGCCAAAAACCTTAGGGTTGGGAAGGTGGGGGAGGAATGACCCTGAAAGCTTGAATTCCTCCAAGTGTGCACGTTTGCGATCACGTGAGCATTTAAAGGAAAAGCGGCAGCGTCACGTGAGAAGAGCTCCTTCCTCACGTTTCAAGTTGATTGATTTAACTGCTTGTGTGAAATCGGTATTTTGACACCGTTCCGGATTTAAATGACATTGTTTTTAGAAGGAATAAAATTCCTGCTGTGGCAGTTTCTGGCCCATCCTGAGTCTGTAAGTTTAAAATTAGCCCCACAAGAAATTACATATTATTAGGTCGAAATTTCAAGGCTGTGCAATTTTGCTTTTCTGTAAACGAGGCCACATCTTTGACCTATTCATTCTACTATGGAAATAACATGAGATTAAGATAAATCTATCAGCCATGGCTAGTGTGGGTCAGTGGATTGAAGGCGGGCCTGCAAACCAAATGGTCCCCAGTTCGATTCCCAGTCAGGGCACATGCCTGGGGTCCCAGTAACTGGACTCCAGTGGGGGTCACGTGAGAGGCAACCACACACATTCTTGTTTCTCTCTCTTTCTCCCTCCTTTCCCCTCTCTCTAAAAATAGTTAATTTTTAAAAAAGATTATCAGCATAGAACAGGGGTGTCAAACTCATTTTCATCCGGGGCAACATCAGCTTCATGGTTGCCTTAAAAGGGCTGAATGTAATTTTAGGACTGCAAATGTAACTACTCCTTAACACTGGTTAAGTGAGAGCTTGGTGCTGCCATGGGGTAGGAACAAGGTGTGGGCAGGATAAAACAAGGTGGAGGGTGGGATTTGCCCAAGGGCCTTGTGTTTGTCACCTGTGACACAGAGGAATGTTAAATACAGTGTGAATGCTGATTTTTAAGGTCTCATTCTGTAAAGATTTATCATTTCCAAATAACAGTAAAAGGAACTTGAATAATTTACTAATTTTTTTTTGTACTATGTTTTAGAGATAGCTAACTAAAAACTGATATCTGACACAGCAGAATGACATTTGGAGGATGTAATGTTGTGGTGGCAGTACTGAGATTGATTCCCACACTCTTTGGGTATTAAATGGCCACACCCTACTTATTCAGATAGAACATTGGTCCTACAAAAAGAGCAGCAGCTGGAAATTTATCTCATTCAATGTTCAGAGATAAAGGGTTAACCATTCCTTCCATTATTTTCTGCAGATAAATCCCCTTTTCATATTGAAATCCGATGGCAATTACATTAAGGTATTTCCCCAAGCTGCTGCAGAAGAGGATGCCGAAGGCCATCACAGCATACTGCAACATAAGGACTCTTCTGCTCACCAATTCTGCTGCACTTCCAAAATATGCCAACAATCCATTTTTATTTCTGTTCAGGAAGCTGAATGCCAAGGATCAGATATAAGCAAAGGTACACACAGGCAGCTAGGTTAGCGTCAACAGACTCTGAAAATTGAAAATGGCAGACATAGTGAGGCCAGTGAAGTCCCAGCCACAGCATCCACCCTTCTGAATTTAGGGGGTATAAGCATAAATACATGTACGGTGGTTTTATTTTTAACAACAAAAAGGTATGTGAAACTACTTTAATGTCCAATAAGAAGGGAATGGTTACAAATTTTGCTAAGAATTTTTTTAATCCTCATGCAAGGATAAGTTTATTGATTTTTTTTTTTTTGAGATAGAGGAAGGGGAGGGGGGAGAGAGAGAAACATCCACGTGAGAGAGACATCATCTGGTTCCCCCCTGTACCCACTATGACCAGGGATCGTACGACCCACAATCTAGGATGTGCCCTGACCAGGAATCGAACACACAACCTTTTGATGTATGGGACAATGCTCCAACCACTGAGCCACCCAGCTAGGGCTCCAGGAATTTTTTTTTAATGATAGAGGGAAATGAAAGCTTTTGATAACATAATAAACTAAAAGCGCCCTGGCTGGCATAGCTCAATGGATTGAGTACGGGCTGCGAACCAAAGTGTCACAGTTTCGATTCCCAGTCAGGGTACATGCCTGGGTTGCAGGCCATGACCCCCAGCAACCTCACATTGATGTTTCTCTCCCTCCCTCCCTCCCTCTCTCTCTCTCTCTCTCTCTCTCTCTCTCTCTCTCTCCTCCTCTCCCTTCCCTCTCTAAAAATAAATAAATAAAATCTTTTAAAAAAAAGGGGGAAGTGATCCCAACCAACAAAACTAAAAGCAGGAAACAAAATTGCATATTCCATGAGATTTTAACTGTATAAATAATACTTGAAAAAAACAAAATACATTAAAGTGCGGTTGACTGTGGGTGATAGATTATAAAATACTTTATGTCTTCTCTATTCTCAGAGAAACTGAGGTAAAGGGGGTTGTACAGTTGATGGTTGCTCAGAGAGTAATAGCCCTGACAATTCCAGAAGGCCACTGGACATCTAGTCTTTGAAGTAACTATTTTTCCCCTGGCAAGAAGGAGAGGGAGAGCTCCATCTGTCCTACAGAATCCCACCCACCTTGATCTCCTTCTCTGTGCTACCACTATCTTGGAAATCTGTTCATTTGTGGAGTTGTCCTACCCTGAATGCAGTCTTGTACCCTGGTCTTCAAATTTGTGCCTGATGCTATGTAGTGGCAGGCTTCTGAGCACGGCCATTTCTACAAATCCCACAAGTACCAGACACCCATGACTTCTTAAGCTTTCTCTTCACACTCTGGCTCTCAGAATTTCCTTCCTGTTATAAAGAACAAGCCCAGAGCTTCATCCTCCAGCTGTCAGGGCAGAGATTAGCAGCTCTATAACTGATTTCTTTCTTCTCTCTAATGCACAGGGGAGCTGTGGTACAGCCACCTGGCATGCGTTGGGGCTCAGAGGCAGCAGCTGCCTACCTGGACTGCCACTAGAATTGATTACTAAGAGGATGAATTAATTCTTAAGTGGGATGTGGTTACAAAACATAAGAAGTTGGAGCACTGGAAGGAAACTGATATTCATCCTTTATTTATTCAGGCACTGTGCACTGGTTGGGGTCAAACATTGGGGCACACTCCTCAGCCATTTGGAACTCCATCCCTACCCAGTTGCTGGCTTCTGCCATCTTTTTTGCTGAGGGACACCAAACACAGTTAAAGATGTGAATACCATACTGCAGCCAGGTAATTAAGCATAATTTTATGAACTATTTAGTTTATAAAATATTTAGATCATAGGTCTTCTTCTCTCACTCAGCTCATTCAGCCTCCACACCCTGGCAGGCAGGAATGTATCCTTCATGCAGGAGGATGAAAGAATGGCTGAGATATATGATCAGTCCAAGAGAGAAAACTTGAAGATACTGACTTGAAAGTTTCATAAGGAAATAGACCAGCTGCATCACCCTTGGTGAAGACCACACACATGTTCAGAGTTTCCAGAAAACCATTAATTTCATACTCAAGTACAAGCAGATGCACAAAGTCATCAGATATATGAAGAAAACTTTTAATATGAAAGACAGAGACCAACATAAGAAAGCAGAAAAAGAATAAATAACTTGGAGGAAACAGAGGCTACGCACAAAGAAAAAAATCAAGACCCCCCAAAAATCATTAATAACCTCAGAGACTAATGATATTTTATTGGTGAAAGAATATGCTGTTTCAAGAAGTGAAGATTCAGAAAATAAACGAGGCCTTTAAATGAAAGCATGCTAGACTGCTGCTTGAGTCTGAGTCTTGGCTTCTTAGCTTCCTCCCTGAACAACGTGAACTTCGGCACCCACTTCAGCTTCTCCACAAACTACTGGACCCTGGGCTCTGTGCAGTTGCCCCGTCACCAGGCCCAGCCAGCCAGCAGTGTGGTCAACGTCTATGCAGGTGCCAGGGGCTAAGGCTCCCAGATCTCCATGTCCCACTCCACAACATGCAGGGGGGTTGGTGATCTGGGGCAGGGACTTGGCTGCGGGGATAGCAGGGGGTCTGGCAGGCATAGGGGGCATCCAGAAGGAAAGGGAGACTGTGTGATGCCTGAATGACAACCTGGCCTCCTACCTGGAGAGGGTAAGAAACTTGGAAGCTGATCATTGGAGACTGAAGAGCAAAATCCAGGAACACCTGGAAAGAAGGGACCCCAGGTCAGACACTGGGGGCATTGTTTCAAGACCACTGAGGACCTAAGGGCTCGGATCTTTGACATCTCTGTGGACAATGCCTGCATCATTCTGGAGACTTACAATGCCCATCCTCCTGCTGATGACCTCACTGTCAAGTATGAAACATCTAGGCATGTGCCAGACTGGAGAATGATATCAATGGGCTCCAAAAGGTCACTGATGACATCAATATCAGTCGCCTGCAGCTGGAGACAGAGATTGAGGCTCTCAAGGAGGAGGTGGTCTTCGTGAAGAACCATGAAGAGGAAGTAAATGGTCTACAAAACCAGATTGCTAACTCTGGGTTGACCATGGAGTTGGGTGCCCCCAAATTTCGGGACCTCGGCAAGATCATGCGGACATCCAGGCCCAGTATGATGAGATGACTCAGAAGAACCAAGAGGAACAAAACGAGTACTGGTACCCACAGATTAAGGAGAGCACCAGTGGTCACCTGACAGTCCGCTAAGATGGGAGCTGCTGAGATGACACAGAG